GCTGCTGCTGCTGCTGCTGCTGCTGCAGCGTTTGCAAAGTTGGCGGCTCAAACCCGCAGCTGCCCGTGGCGCTGCTGCCGTTGCCAAAATGCGGAATGCTGCTGCTGCTGCTGCTGTTGCTGCCCGCCGCCTGCTGCAGCGAAGCAAACGGACTCGGGGGGCCCCCAGGGGGGCCCCCCGATATGTGCGAGACAAAGCCAGGGGTGGGGGGCCCCTGCGGGCCCCCAAAGGCCATGGGGGGCAGGGCATCCTCGGGGGCCCCCTGGGGGCCCCCCTGTGACGCAGCAGCAGCTGGGGGGGGCCCCGCAGCTACAGCAGCAGCAGCAGCTGCTGCTGCTGCTGCTGCTACTGCTGCTGAAGGCGCCGCTGTGTCTGCGGGGCTCTGCATGGCCGAGTGAGGAGGAGCGCCAGCTGCCGCCGCCGCCGCCGCTGCTGCTGCTGCTGCTGCTGTTGCATCGTAGGAAGCAGCAGCCGCAGGGGCGCAGGCAAGAGCTGCTGCTGGAGGCCCTTCGTCTATCTCCATGCTGCTGCTGCTGCTGCTGCTGCTGACAATTTCTTTTCAATTATAAAATCAAAATTGCAAAAAGTTAACTTCTTATTTCCAAAATCCACAAGCTCTCCGCCCTCTCAAAACTGCTGCGCCGCGGTCAGCTGCTGCTGCTGCTGCTGCTGCTGCTACTGCTATTGCCGCCGCTGCTGCTGCTGCTGCTGCTGCTGCTGTGCCGCTGCTGCTGCTGCTGCGGGATGCAGGGAAAGCCCAGCAGCAGGAGAACAAGAACTCAATCGCAACGGAAACGTGTTAAATATATTTCGGATGTTAAATGAATTTCACAAGTGGCCAGCGCAGCAGCTGCAGCAGCTCAGGTGTACGTACACCTCAGGAAGAAGGCCCCCGGCACACGCCCAGACAAAAGTGCATAATGAAAAATTAAACAAACAGAAATTACTTTTAATAAAACAGATTGCTGCTGCTGCTGCTGCTGCTGCTTCCTGCTGCCAAAGCTAGGGGCAGCAGCAGGCCGGAGGCGCACTCAGCACGCGCTGCTGCTGCTGCTGCTGCTGCTACTACGGTTGCTGCAGTTGCTGCAGTTGCTGCAGTTGCTGCTGCCAGCTGCGAGGCTGGTTGACTGCCGCTTGCACGCTGCTCGAGTCAGTGCTACTTCTGCTGCTGCTGCTGCTGCAGCAGCAGCAGGGTGCTGCTGCTGCTGCTGCCAGGGGCGCACGAACAAACGGGAAGGGCCCCAAGCTGTCCAAAAAGACACATGGGCCCGAGACGCAGCAGCACAGAGGCCCCGCCTTGCCACCGCCACCGCAGCAGCAGCAGCAGCAGCAGCAGCAGCAGGAGCGCGGCTGGGAAGCCGACAGAGAGAAAGAGACGAAAGACGCCGACAGCAGCAGCGGCTGCTGCTGCTGCTGAGGGGCCCCCTGCAGCGCCAAGCGGCGCAGAGTTTCGGAGGCAAAACGAGAAAAAAAACAGTGAAAGGCGAGGGAGGGGGAGGGGCCCCCGCTGCTGCTGCTGCTGCTGCTGCTGCAGCTACGATGAAGAGCAATGACAGCTGACTCAAAGGAGCGTCTACGTCTGCTTAAAATGCGGGCAGGCAAAGAAGCATTTCAAAGGAGCAGCAGCAGCAGCAGCAGCAGCAGGCAGCGGCAGCAGCACCCAGCCTCAGCAGAGGGCGCGGCGCTGCTGTGTCCTTGAGGCCTCCCGGGCTCCCTTTCGATTCAAAGAAGACAGAATTGAGAAGAAAGGAACAAACAAAGCAGCAATAAAACAAAAGAGGCGGCGATTGGGCAGCAGCAGCGCGGAGAGAGGAAGCAGCAAACAGCCGCAGCAGCAGGAGGCGCCTGCAACGCCGTGGGGCTCTGCAGTTTCTTTTGATTCTCGCTGCTGCCGCCGCTCAACGAAAATAACAATAATGCAACAAACGGAAATCAATTGCTGCTTTAACGCGTTCAACTTGAGGTGTACAGACAGCTCAAACACGCGCCGCGCTAGCTCGAGCAGCAGCACCATAGCAGCATGCTGCAGCGGCGGCTCAGACCCGGACTTCCTGGGGGAGAAAGGGCTTTTTTTCCGCGTATTCTGGGGAGAAATGTCTCAAATAAATATAAACAGCATTTCAAATCAAATTTAGTCGGCTGCAGCCGCAAGAAACCCGCGCACACGCGCCCCGGCGCCCGCCCTCTAGATAGCCGCCGCGCAGTTTGCAAGTTCGGCCTCTGCGCGATTTCTTTCTTTTTTCCAGATTTTCTGCACTAGTTTTTAAGTCTTTTAAAGGCCCCGAGCCCAAAGCAGCGCTTTTGCTGCTCCGGGCTGCAGCAGCGGGGCAGCAGACGCGGTGAGACGGCGCTGCTGCCCGCAGCAGCAGCTGCCCGCCCCCCCTGCTGCTCTCCTAGCCTTTATTTCTGGGTTTTGCTGCAGCCACGGGGCCCCAAACAAATCAAAGCAGCAAGTCCTTGCAGCATTTCTACCCAGACAAGCAGCTTTGCCTTCTTGCTGCTGCGGTGTGCTGCTGTGGGGCGCTGCTGCGGACAGTAGCTGCGGCTGCGCCTCCTGCTGCTGCTGCTGCTGCTGCAGCGACCAGCAGCAGCAGCGGATAACCGCAAGCAGCACAAGAAGCTCTCACTAGCTAGGCTCTCCTGCGCGGCCAGCAGAAGCAACCAGCCCCAAAACGCTAGCTAAGAACCCCAGAGTTTACCCTAAACCCTAAATCCTAGACACATGTACCGCTGCAGCAGCAGCAGCAGCAGCTAATTAGCTGCCCAAGTGCCGCCGCTGCTGCTGCCTCTGGGGCCCATTTGCTGCACCCGAAGCCCCATCTTGAATTGAGCCTTCAAGCAGCAGCAGCAAACTAGACATAACAAACCCGAGGGCTTCTTCGGGCCTGCTGAACGCCCAGGAAAGGGTTTAGCGACTAGGGTTTAGGGTTTAGCGCCTAGGACTTAGGGTTTAGGGTTTACCGCGTAGGGTTTAGGGTTTCTACACAGCAGCTTGGCGGCGGAGTAGGGATTCTTTGCAAGAAAGTTAGAACCACAAAGAGCAGCAGCCAAAGCTGCTGCATTTGCTGCTGCTTTTGGGGCAGAAGTGAGTTGAATTGCTGCGGCTTTGAAGTGGCTGGGTAGGCTTTCTGCTGCTGCTGTTGCTGCTGCTGCAGCTGGGCTGTGGCGGAGTTTGTTTGTTAGGGAGGAGCCCCCAGCTGAATAATTTTTATCAATGGAAAAAAATAAGAAGAAAAAAGAAGAGAGTGATGAGGCTGATGGCGTGTCTAGTGCAAGTCGATTCCAAATACTTGAATTCAGCTTATTTCAAAGAAGAACTGCAGATCGGTGCCACAAAAGCCATTTCAGATGTCCCGTTTATTATTTATTTGTTTATTTATTCATTTTCCACTTTTTTCTTGCCTTTTAGTGTATTTATTCCCTGTTGAGATCTCATTTTGAGGGCGCCTTGCTCTTTGCGTCTTCACTGCGTGCGTTGCCTCGAGACAAGACACTGGAGCCGGGGGAATCCGCGGCGGAACTTTCCTTGAAATTGATCTAGTCCTTAAATTAAAAAGCATAAGTGTATTTAAGCTAAATTATAAAGGAGAAAAGTGGTTCACTTGCAAGAATGGGAGAAACAGAAACTGCATGGATGGTTGTGTGCAGCCGCAACCCGGCAGGGGCTTCAGGGCCGATTCTCCAGGTTTTTTGAAGGAAAATGCAAGAAATAAAAACAATTTTGACTTTATTGATTGTTCACTTTAAAAGAAGTCGAAAAGTAGAGCAAAAGAGAGGCAGACGTATAGCTAACTCGCGCGGTGTCGGCGGCGACGCTGCGGAAACGGCAAGCAGCAGCAAGTGTTTCTGAATTGTTAGATGCTAAAGAAAGAATGGAGCTCACGAAATAATACTTTTGAAATGATTTTAAAGTTTATTTGGTTTTAGTCTTCAATTTTCAGCGCAGGAAGACGCCCGGAAGTGGACAGCTAGGCGGCCTCAGCACGTTCGGCAGCGCAGCAATCGCTGCCTGCTGGTTTCAGGTCTACAATGGCATTTTCGGGGCAAACGTTTGCGTATTTGAAATCGATTCGGCTTTAAGAAACTCTCTTTCCTTTTTCCTTTTCTTTTTCTTGCAAAACACGACAGCTTTCCCGCAATCCCGTCGCGGATTCGCCAACTTGAATCGACGCCGAGCGCGCGCAGGCAGCGAGAAGAACCTTCAAATTGGCCACGACTGGGGAGATTTCAGCAGCCTTCTCGGAGCATTTCGGGGTAAATTGAAAACGAAACTCAACTAGAAGTTCAATTAAGGGCAAACAGCTCAGGAAACTGGCCCGTCCAAATTCTTGAATTTCGGTTTCGCAGCCGCGGCGTTCACTCCCCTCGATCTTCTCCCTCTTTGCCTTTCTGTGGCTTCTGCGCCCCTTCCCTCTTTGTCTTCTGGACTAATAATAAAGCAGAAGTGCATTTGTGTTCCGGGAGTTTCTGGTGCTGCTGCGGAGGCTGGCAGGAGCTGAGCTGCCGCTGCAGGCACAGCCGCGGCGGTGCAGCAGCGCGGGCGCGCAGCAGCGCAGCAGGCCTTTCTTTGTCCTCTTAACTTTCGCTGTGTGGCCTTTTCTGCGGATTTTTTCAGTTGCTGGTGCAGCACCGCCTCCTAGTGGCCTCTCGCGCCGGCGCAGCAGCAATGCAGGCGGCACTGCAGCAGCAGCAGCAGCTCGCGCAGCAGCAGCAGCTGCTGCAGCAGCACGCCGCTGCCCCCCGCCAGCTGGTCCTCTCAGAAACCACTCGGCCTCTCAGCAGCAACGATTCCCGTCCAGATCCTTTGCCTGTTCTAGTTCAACACTCTTCTTCCCTCGTTGCTGCGCAGCCCGTTGGCCGCCTCATTCCCACGAACGTCAGGCCCCCCCAGTGTCTTGCTGCTGCAGGTGAGCCCTTGGCAGCAGTGCAGCAGCAGCAGCAGCGCCGCAGCAGCAGCCCCCCGCTGCTGCAGCTGCTGCAGCTGCTGCGCTCTCCCCCACGTTGCTGCTGCTGCTCCCAGACGCCGCTCTTTCTGCAGCTGCCGCGCCCCCGTCCGCCCGCCGACACTCACGCCTCCACCCCCGCTGCTGCTGCTGCTGCTGCTGCCGCTGCTGCTGCTGCTGCTGCTGTTTGCGTGCAGCTGTGGGCAGCGCCTACATCCCCTCTTCCCTCACGGGCTCGCCTTTCTTCCACGCAGCGCCTTCGGCCCCTCCGTGCATTTCGCGGAACCCGAAGGCCCCCACTTTGGCAGCACTGACGAACAGGCTGGGGGCCCCGCAGCTGCTGCCAGCAGCAGCAGCAGCAG